GGGGCACCGGCAGCGGCTCCTCTTGTTGTCTGGTTGAGAGGGAAGAAATTTCATCTGTGCTGTATGTTGCACATACAGCGCATTTGACAATAACGTACTACTTGATTGTAGAGGCTGTATTCTGTTTTTATGTACGTTTACCACAACGTCCCAACTTCAATTGAATTGATGTGTACATTTGGGGTCCTTAAAATATGAATACTGGCCTTGGCACATTCCCCTCAATCACCACTCATTCGTGTTCAATAACGTATAAGACATGACGAACCCGATTGTATCCGCATATTTCCTACCTCGAACCTACCTGTGTAGTGCACTGGGAATTGTGGGTAATGTAGTTGAAATCGTACTCAGGAATCTATCCGCAGATTATTTTGCGCGTTTCGACGAATGTTCTGTTAGCCTCACTTTTAGAAGGCGGGGAGTATTCCAGAACCCCCACGAGCCACGTACGCCGCTGTGCAGAGTTCTGAACTAACTCAATTAACAAGGTAGCTCGGAAAAGCCGAGTACGTCAGTACGTCAATCTTATCCTCCCCCAGAAAGTTGTCTTACCTGGTATTTGCATGTAGAGAGACACAAATGCAATCAAATACAGGACCGCCATGCACCAGAGGAACATGCGCCGTGGCAAAACGATTTCCCCCATGTTTGGAAGTGAGCTTGAAGATGGGTGGGACGACCCAGCAACCGTGGGACGTTCGAGTAGCCTGCCTTGATAGGAGGCGAAGGAGCCGTCGACAGGCAGCGAGGGTTTCCTCTGCTTGGTCAACTTTCTGGACCCACCTTCAACAATAATTTCGTTTATGATGAGTGACTCACTAGCGACATTCACAGGCGCGGAGCGTTCTTTGCTCAAGCGCTTGAGTCCTCGCGAGAAAATGATAAAATGTCGCGAGAGGGCCATAATAATAGTTCAAGTTCAGTCAGGCAACAACCCCAAGAACAACCCCAACCCAATGATTATGATCATTTTATTTGCCGTTTTATCTGTATTACGAATGTTTTTACTTGAGATTAATGCAAATATAGCTTGTATATATTGGATACAATTTTCATCAAAATAGGGGGAAGCGTTCCGTCTCGAAGATTGCATTTAAGACCATCCCGACAAATGCGGCTTTGACGTTAGGAAGTCAACATCCGAATTTTTTTTTACCAATTTGGTTGTTTTATATTCATGACCAACGAATCCCGATCTATTCATCATTCACGGCAATCAGGACTTTAATTCTGCGTTAGCGTTGTCATCCGAATAGGGCCGTTATGACGCGTACACTCGGATTACGTCGAAATGCAAGTGTATCGTATCGTTCTCTTCTTATCTATCTTCTATTCCAATATTTTGACTGAGGTTGCGACTTTTGGAACAGTTCGGCAAAAAAAATGAACCCATTACCGACCAAGATAACCGTTATAATGTGGTTTTGTTTGTTTGGTTTTAATGATCATAGATGCCATCACAGTCACATTTTTGTTTAACTGAGTTTATTGTGCAAGTCTTCGGCAAGCATTTTAAGTTCATGGCGATGATAATTTGGTGTACATGCGTCTAGCACATTCAAGTTTGGACACAAACACAGGAAATCATGCACAACCTCTTTGTCGCAAAAACAAACAAAAAAATAAAGATTTATAGTACCACTAATTCCAAACATGCATTTATTGCACTTACAAAAAATAAAAACCCCCAAAATTATTAGAAAGCAACATTTAGAGCTTACTATGAAAAAAAAAATATTTCTAGCACTGGACATCATGAACAACAAACAAAAATCAGTAGCAGGATTAGGACTCAGAATAAACATGAAAACATGATTTCTTTGAATATATACAATTTTTAAAGGTTTTTTTTTTTGGCGGTAAAACCATAACTGTATAAATCACAGCAAACAGATTGGATAGGACGGGGCTGTGACCTGATTCTATGACACTCAAGAATTGTGGTAGGTGATGCTTCCTGGGAGCAATACTGTACTGGAACAGGTTTAATAAAGACAGTCCAAAATGGACTTGGCAAATTTGTGCATGCTGATGATTGTTGCTTTCAAACACCTCCTCATAATTGTCAATAATTAAAAACACAAAATGTAATCTGCGCAAATTTGAAATATTATATAGTCCCTTGTATCAATGACTGAAGCCTGTATACATATGTCAAATAATTGAGAAATGTGAGGTTTTTTTTATTTTTTATGATCCAAGGTCTGATGATCGGAGGTCTCTAAAATATTACCCTGAGTGAGTTTTCCAGCTCCACATTATGTCATTTATAATAAGAATAAATAACACCATTTATTTGTTTGACATTTTTATTCTTGATACCTTGGAAATATATTTGATAATTTGGGAGTTTTGAGCACATTCCAGCAAAGGCTTGATGACACTGGTCAACAGCGAATTATAATCAGTTGGCTCTACTGTATGTGTCCCTATATTTATTTTTAAAGCTGATTTAAAAAAATATGTCTACTTTTTCTCTAGCTAATCAGGTTTTTGAGATATTTTCATTTTTGGTTTTTAAGTTTGACCGGACGAGTTGTAATTTATAGCCATGATGACGTTTCAGAAAAAAAAATCCACCTGTTGCTGAACCAAACCCTTAATTCCTAAATATTAAACAGCACGCCCGCGACCCTTGTGAGGATAAGCGGATTCGAAAATGGATGGACAGATGGATATTTCTATATTATATACTGTGTTAATGTTAAATTCTTATTATGTGTGTGAGGGAAAAAAAGAGGCCATCAGCGCAAAAAAGTTTTGTTCCATCTCGAATTAAAAACGTGTTGACCAAAGTAATTCGTTGTCTCGCAAAAGATTATTCTGAACGATTCTCCTGTTATGCGGAGTACGGTACGTGGTTTTCTTTCTCCCAGATCTGCTCGAAAATGATCAGATATGAAAAATGTTAATATTAAACCTGTGCCATTTTAACAATTGCAAATTCTCTTTGGGCAGTGTGGATGCCCTGTGGCACCATGCTGTCCCTTCCCAGGTCAAACTTGGTACTAATGACACATATCTGGATTGGGTAAGGAGACGAGCGATTGTTGGTCAGATATCATGTGTGGTGTTATCTGGAGTACTGGTTTTCTTTCTCCCAGATCTGCTCGAAAATGATCAGATATGAAAAATGTTAATATTAAACCTGTGCCATTTTAACAATTGCAAATTCTCTTTGGGCAGTGTGGATGCCCTGTGGCACCATGCTGTCCCTTCCCAGGTCAAACTTGGTACTAATGACACATATCTGGATTGGGTAAGGAGACGAGCGATTGTTGGTCAGATATCATGTGTGGTGTTATCTGGAGTACAACACAAACCATAAGGGCATGAAGAACACAATGAGTTTTTCTCCCCCTCATCGTGTGGAGATTTTAACATTTTAAATCATTTTAGATGTTAAAAATTGTCATTTGTGTACCCCGCTTTAAATGAGTGTGCGGTCATAGCTGGTAAGCAAACCCGAACGATGCTAGCAGGCAAAAAATAGATGCTTCTTCTTTTGCTGTTATTATTAACAATTGTGGTGGAAATACTCATGTGAGAAAAATCCATGTCAGTATTTGTAATTTTCTTTTGTGCGCATGTGTTGCTTCTCAAAAGCGGCATCCGAACTTTGGGATATTTGACAGAGTTAAGGCAACCGAAGCTTGCTCTCATTTGGACGGCTAGACTGTTGCGGTTGAGTGATGGCAGATGTCATGTGGACCCTTCCATTCCACTCGTGCACGCTTGTCCGAGGCTTGTTGCGGATGACGCGGGCTCCTGATCCAATTCCCGCACGCAGATGACGGCATCGCCACTCACATTGATGAGACACTGTGCCTGTGTGACAAACACAAATGGGTGGATTATAACACTGGAACAAGTCCGACGGTACAGCAGTACTTTACCTTCAGACTAATTTGTTCTGTGAGCCAGTTAACTATTTACTCATGTCACATGCCATTAATCTCTAGCAACCATCCACCACCCCCAATTATTATTTTTGGGTCATGTTTTTAATTTTAAAAAAATAGCACAGTATTATATCAAAACATTATTAAAAATATAATGAAATAAACTAGGTTTATGAAGTGTAATCACTGTATGTACTGTAGTATTTGTGTATTGCTCCTGTGCCTTTTAGCCCTCTTGTGTTCATCCGTTTGACTGTTTGTCCCGTTCAATAAACAGTTGAAAGTGCATCAGTAATCAAGGCAGGGCACCACTATATTTCATACAAGAAATCAAGAAATTAAGAAGAACATTTTCCATATTGTCTTTGTGTGTGTGTGTGTGTGTTTACCTGGTTCTTATTGGGATTTTCCATCAACACACACTCCTTCATGCTGTAAGACACAACGGCATTTCCCCCCAAAGCTGCAACGTGGGCGCGAACCATGGCAAACACCTCTGCAACGAACGAATGGAGGAAGCCGCTCACGCCGCCTTCCTGTAAAGGTGGAGAACACACAAGACTAGCTCTGTAGCCACCTTTGTTTTTCGGGGGCGGGAGGACTCAAGTCATTTTGGCCGTACCTCTCTTAAGGACGTGGTCTCTCGAATGAAGAACATGTTGATGATCCCCAAGTATTTTACCACACGTGTACCGGGGAGAAAGGAAAGCGGTGTCATCTTCACCACCGTGACTGAGCTTCCTCCAAACGAGCAGCGGTTGGAGCGCAGCGAGCGGGACCGGCTCTCGGTCAGCGGACTGGAGCGCTCCAGTGATGACACTGAAGGTTCACAGACCGCAAAAAGCTCATTTGCAAGGGATGTTGCTAAAGGAAGCTCTATTTGTTGCTGACTGAGGTTACTGTTGCGTGATGACAACATTGCATAATTGCGTAGATAAGTGTGTAGATTACATAGTGGCATTTAAAAAAAAAAGATAATCTCTCTAAGCAGATAATAATAAAAAAAAAGTAACTTATTTATCATTACATCTTACTAAGAGCCCTAAGGTACTGTGATTTCAGTTGACAGCAATATATTATGAATAAATTAATCAGACTATGGTGTTCAGACTGGTGGGGCTGCATTGAACATAATGTTTTGAAGCAGGAAATGCGGTTTTCGCCAAACCTAATTTAATTTTGGGATTCATGAAACATGTGATGTCACAAACAAAAAAGTGTGTGGACATGTGACTATTAAAACACATGCAGTCATGTGGATGGTGCGGGTGGTCAGACAATCACTTTCCATGCGTGACAGGCGGACAAGACAGTTTACAGTGTCTGCAGACAGACACGCAGACCTGGGAACAGCTGTGATGTACGTTAACTTGTGTCAGGGAAACGACAAGGTGACAACTCTTTCGGACCTGGCGCCATGGGAAACGAATGTAGACAGCTAGTAGGAACTGAGACAGGCACAAGAATAATGCACAAGCCCGCACGTGAAAGGGCGAATTTAGGTGATATGGCTTGTGTCAATCAAGCAAAAAAAAAAACATTGTGAGCAATTGCTTTTTCACATTAAAATTTTTCTTACCCCCTCGGTGAATGAAATTATCATTCAGAAGCTGCATTTTATATTTCCTTGGGCAGTCTATGTGTGATATTAAAATTGGTTTGATTCACTGAAACCTTTGTGTGTGATAAATATGCAACGAACACAGAAATCAGGAAGGGAGCAAATATACGGTTTCACAGCACTGTACATTGTACAAGCTTGGCGATAATTGGGAAAATTGCAAAGACTGAGAACTATGTAGTACTGTGCAACTGTCTTTCATTCACCATTTCAGTTTTCTTGATTTTTTTTTTTTTTTTGGGCGGGTGTACTAAAAACTGTGCCCAGTGATGAGGCATCACTATTTCAGGAAACAAACATGACAGTGAATTTCACTTGCTATCTGTATTTGCATGTCTCAGAGTGTGCAAGTGTGCCTAAAATTGTGGCCTAAGAGTGCAACGTTCCTTAATATTTTGACAGAGATCAAACGGCGGTAATATCTGGAAAGGAAAACTTTGCATTGGGAAACAAATCACAACTCCTATTTCCCATCATCAAAAAGACAAACTGCTGACTGGATAAATCCCAATGAGGGACAGCGCCTTAAACACTTTTACACTATCCAACAGGAAGCTGAAATTTAATTCCTACTGCTTCACCGCACAGCAGTATGCATGGATGTTTGTATGACATGTGCGAGTGTATGCTTGTGTATGTGTGTGCTTTGTATCTTTGCACGTGACCAGCGGAGTGTGATCGAGACTGTGTCCTCCTACTTGTCTTAACTGATCCTCGTCTTATGGTGTGAGCTTTCAGCCTAAGCAGCTCTAGCCAGGTGCTGCATCTGTCTGCAAAGGAACCGTAATCAAAGGAGGTAGCTGGAGAGAACACACACACACACACAAAACCCACAACCACACAAAAGACAACAAAGAAAAAAAAAAAAACAACAAGGAAAAACAAAAAAAAAAACAAAAACAAAAAGAAGAACAGAAAAAGAACACAAGTGGATGAGGTCTGGAGCCATGTGGGATATTTCTGTCCGAGACATTAGGATGGTCAGTCAAAAAAATGAGCCTGTGTTGTAGTTTCGGTAGGACGTAGGTCGAGTACGGGGTGGATACATATGAAAGTGCATTGGGGGTGGGGCTTACCTCTGGATGACACAGCACTACTTATTGGGACACCTGTGAGGAGACACAAACATCAAAGTCTTCCTTTGGGTTGAATACGCAAGGAGTGTATGTCCATTCATGTTCCAGGGCTGAATATACACTGCAGGTTATGTTTTAATGTCAATGTCATATTTTCCTCTCTACGCATGTACATTTTAAGGGACAGCAGTCAGTGACAACATAGGAGTAAACAATTATATCATAAAGGTGACATAGTCGCTCGAGTGGGGCGTGGCCTGGACTGACTCTTCATATGAATCAATTGTCCACCATCAAAAATTATTTTGCCTATTCGGTGATCGACAAATCTCGACTATCGGATATTTAGACTTTGTAATGCAGTGTATTTAGACTGTATTTCCAACCGGATTCTAATGTTAAGATATCTGACTCCATGCGTTCTTTTTTTCTTTTTCTTTTTCTCTTTATGAGCCACTGGAGGACAACAACAACAAAAAAAAATCTGAATCGTCTCACTTGAACCGAGCAGTGTAAATCCACCCTGATTGTGCTCAATCTAAAACAGATTTGCATCAGACGACATGACACTATTGTGCACTAGTTTCACAACAGATGAGACCAAACTCTGCAACGTGACATCACTGACCATTTACCTTCCGTCTGCACAATAACCAGCTGATTTTGGCAGAGTTTTGCAGCCGGAGTGAGTAAAGAGACTGTACCTGAGGTGTTAGCGGAGGAAATGGGTGACGAAGCCTGTTAGTGAAACAAGGGCTGCGTGAGGTTAATCTTGAGAAGAAAGCTTGATCCTACCTGAGGTTTTTGATGGCGGCTGCGTGCTGGCGGAAGGGCAGTCGACGCAGAGCTCCAAGGGGAACTGCAGCTGCTCTTCAGTCTCACTGCACCCTGAAACACACACGTACACATTACTTGAACATTCAAGTGTTGATATCACAAAGGGGTGACATGGTTCAGTGATAGAGTGGTTGTTTCTCAACCCAGGGGTTGGCGGTTCGATCCCTGCCCGAGGGACCATGTCCAAGTGTCTTTGAGCAAGAGACTGAACCTCCAGTTGCTCCTGATGTTGCGTCATCAGTAGGTGAGTGCCCGAAGTAGAAAAGCACGATATAAGTGGGACCTACCTTTGGTGATGGGCCTGTCCGCTAGCTTCTCCTGGGTCTGGTCCTTGTCGAACGTCATGGCGACCGCCGTCACGGCAACCTGCCAAGCAGACGGACAACTCAGTGCAAGTGTGAAAAGAGAATTTGCAGGTGTAAATATGCGTCAAGGATATTCACTCACCTGTATGAGTTCTTCTTCCGGCACTGCTACGGTGAAGTTGAGATGACAAATGCAGCAGGGGATCATAGAGCGCAACTTGAAGTACAAACTCTGAAATAAACACAACAAATTGACCATAAGCTTTGCCACTTGTTGTCAAGAAGTAATTTGCTTTTAAAATATTTTGACATTTTACAGCGATTAACTTATTTTTACTCATTAATGAGCATTCATAAAAATTGACCAACAGAACTTTCTTTTTGGTATGTCTTCATTTAAAACCCAGACTGAATTGCTTTTATGTCTCATTTTACACGACAGTTCCAAATGTTTAAGTATCACTTCAAGATTTTCTCATGGCAAAAGTTTGTCCCCAAAAGAGATTTTATTTCATTTACTCTTGTGCCTCGTGAGAAAAATCTAAATGCAAACAAAGCTTCAACGTGCCACTTGTATTTGTCATACACGCACCTTCAGCAGGTTCTCACACAGGTCAGTGAAGATTTTGTTCAAGCCTTGATTGGTGAGATTGGCATTACTCAACCTTAGCACCCTCACTGATGTAAACATCTGGGAAATAGAAATCACAAGTTACAGTTGAACTGTTTCAAATTTTTTTCATCTTGTGTGTGTACCGCACCAAAGCAGGATACACCGATTGTATTTGGCAATTCATGCTGTGCAACTACACATGGTGGATGGAGCATTGCGCCGAGAGACCTGTATTCCCGAAGTCCAGTTGTAAATCCCAGGCATGACCTCAGTGTTGCAGCTGTGGAAACCTAAAGAAAAAAAAAATGACGTGAGCAGGGGATTAAGGATCAAAAGGTGCATTCTAATGATGACTCGGGTCACATACCCGTGGGAGGCGGGGCATCCGTGAGTAGGGAGTGAATATCTTCCACGGCATCGGTGTCATCAATCTATAGAAGGGGTGGAAAAATTTAAGTGATCAGGGATCATATTTGACTTTTTTGTTTCTTTGTTTTGGTTTCAGATGGTCCAAGTTATTCATAGCTAAGTTTGCAATGTTTAATTGCCATGTTTTTATTTGCTCATTTGTAAATTGTTTAATTAAAATACATTTAAAAAAATTAATAAATTAATGAGAGCATTTAAATGGATTGTTTACTTTAATATTTTAATTTCAGGATTTATAATAACAATTTTAAAATTAAATTAACACAAAATAAATAAATGCATTTCTGTGCTATATTAGAGGATGCTTGATTTTAAAAAAAACTATTAAAAGCTCATTTTTTGTTGGAAATCTAAAAATCAAGAGTTCTGTAAAAATTGGTATTTTTAATAAAAAAAAATAAAACACTCTTGATTCCCCCCACCCATTTTTTTTCAAATAAATCAAAAGTCCTGTAATATTTGTATCATTAAATTTGCTCTTTTTACTAAAAAAAAAATGGGTCATGAAAATATGTGCGCTAATGGGTCTCAGGCCATACTTTGTTCACCCGTGATCAGCAGCAATATACAAATATAACTTAGTCAAGCCCTTAACACCAATCACCTCACTTTCATACCAACGCACACACCTCCAGGACAAAAGCATCCTTCTTGCCATGAGACAGGTCCAGTTCTGAAAGCTCGTCTGAGCTTTCTGAGTGGGAGCGGAACAGCCTATTTCGTGGTCTGGGCTCCGGGATGGGAGAACCCACTACTTCCTCTGTCAGCTCCTACGAAATAAGCAAAAAAAAAAAAAAAAAAAGGGACAAAACATCCGAGCTGGTATGAGTAATTTATATAGTAGGACACCACTGCACCCCCCCACCTCCAGCAGTAGAGGGACTATGTTAATAACACACCACATGCTCGTTCACATACCACCATCAGTCACCAGGCCACTGGTGTTAATTTGAAAATAGTAGCAAACACACACGCACACACACACACACACACACACACACACACACACACACACACACACACACACACACACACACACACACACACACACACACACAGGATGAATGGGCAGGGAAAATGGTCATAATTAACAAATACAATGAGTCACAATGGCTCAAGCTGGTGCCCCAAGAGGCAGCTAAGGTGGGTTACATGTAGCCCGCCCCCGAACGTCATTCATCCCCCCCCAGGCCCCAAGTTAAACGGCTCTCACAAAGGGGTGAAGTGTTGGTAGAGGCTGTGATAAACAAGAGTGAAGCATTTGTCATGCGTTGCCGTGTCGCACAGCGATCAGTACCATGTTTATGTCGCTGAGCACCTCAGGGTCCAGGGTAAATAATTTCTTTAATGACCAGAGAGAAATAAAAGGGGGTCAGTTTTTCAGGACGTACAGAGAACAGAGACAACAGATGACGGACTGTAGAGCAATGTATGAAGACTTGAGGCCACAAAAGATTATGGACAATGTTTCTGTCAAATGTATCCAGGGGGAGCTGCAGTGTTCAATTCTAGCAAGGCCCCAAATTCCACAAGGCATTGGAGGTTCCAGTCTGCTTTGAACATACAACCTAATTCAGAGTGAGGAATTAGCTCACATTCCACTCAAATGAAGAATTTGTGCCAAATCTGGTTATTAAACACCAGCTTTAGTATGAAATGTAGAATAGTTGTTAACCAACATCCAAAGGGACACACGGGCATTCGCAAACGGACATCATAATGTACCGTATATATTATTAATATAGTAAAGAGCTACTATGAAAAATAAGGTGTATAAAGCAGAGATCAATGGCTCTCTGAGCGAGTGTAGTGCATCTCACCGGCGGCGTGATCTGATAGAGCTCTTTGTTTTTTGCGATGGTGTCGTTGATCCTCTTCTGGATGGTCAACATGTGGTGCTCGTTGCTCATGTCGCCCGGAGTCTTCCCTGCAATCTGAATGCCTCCTGGTGTAGGGAGGGCGGTCAGATACACTCCTGTGGCAGACTGAACACATAGACACTTTTAATTAAAAAAAAAAAAAAAAGTGGACAGGGCACTGCTACGAAGAGTGAAAAACAGAGTAACTGACAACCCCTTATGTTAATTGTTGAAAATGCAAAAAAACATGATCCTAGAACAGTTATCATTTAAAACTCATTTTAGAACAAAACACTTCAAAAGAAATATCTTATAGATTATTTGATTATTCAAAAAAATGCACTGCAATTACCCATGTACATGCACTTAAGAGTCTCATGTAATATCTTCCACTGATATGTTTCAGCAAATGGCTGGGGACTGGTTTCAGAGGGGAATAAAAATTATTCAGAATCACGGGGATTGAGACCAAAAACTGCTGTGACAAGCCAAACCCCACGAGTGGCACCAAAAATGTTTGAGATTGCCTTTAGATGTCGCAGGATGGTGGCAAAGCACTCCTTATGTCTAAATGTATGTGTGTGCTGGTACTGTATATCTCAGTTTATCTTCAACATACTTCCTTGACACCACGATACCACCAGGTGGCGCCAAAACAATACTGTGATTTCTTTGGATCAAACCCATCCAATGGGCAAATTTTACGGCTAATATTGGAAGACAGGGTTTCATAAAACTATCAATAGCTGTTTAGTGAATTGAGACTATTCAAGACGCAAGTGACTGTATTTGATTAAAAAGTGGACCTACGGCCAGACCCAGCAGCATGTTCTCGCCGACGCTGATCTGTATGTGAAGGCCAAACAGGGCGTTCATGCTGCGCAGCTTCAGCTTGTTCATCAACTGAGTGTGCAGTTCGTATTCCATAAATGGAAGCAGGTTGGAGATGGCCGTGGCATTCACCTCCCCCTGAGCTCGCTTCTTCAGACGGCATAGTCTGCGAGGTAACAAACACTGCTGTTAACTTGCATTGACTCAAGTGAAGGATGGATGTGCTTGCTCCCAGCCTGCTGGGAGGTATCATACCTGGCCTGAATGAGACAGCCTTTCCCCGTGACGGCAGCATCAGATGGCAGGTCGATTGTTGTGAACAGAACATCGGGTACCTAGCAAAAAGATAATTACAATAAAAGACGCAAGCGTGTTGAGGGCCCCAAATAGGCAACTGATTCTTTGGAAGTCTTAATAAACACAGTGACTCCAGTGATAGTGCTCAGGCCCTAACCAAGGAATCAATTTTATTTCAACACTGTGAAACAACTGAAATGTAGTTTGAGACCTTTTGTCGTCTGCAGAGGTAGCAGTAGGTGAGCTGGGCGGGAAAGGGCATGTTGAACTCATCGTACGGTATGTGACAGAAGCCGCAATTCGAGGGAGACGGCTCCTCAAACCTGGTGAAGGTGACAATTTGTTGTTAGACTATACAAGTGAATTCACACACAGAACAGATACATTTTATAGATGGTACCTCATCAATTTAATGAAATCCAATGAAAGAGATGTGGGAAAAATATTTTACTAAGATAATAATGTTCATAACTTTTAGATTATTGCAGCCACTCAAGTGTGCAGGTCACCCCTTCATATTGGTGCATTAACAGAGTGTCAATTCAAATTGAAGTCTGGCATTATCATCTCTGAAAAGTGAGACTTGCTTTTTTTTTTCTTCTTTAAACGGGGTTGATTTAGAGTACCTCAAGATATTGGTGCAAAAACATTGGGTTAAAGCAGACATCCAATTTCATGCCTAGTTGGATTTGACTTGAATATTTATATCTTTTAACACTCCGTTTGTTCATATATTTCGCAGGTGACAAATATGTAAGACTTTTCCTCTTGTTTCCGACTGTATTCCACCAGCCTTTGCATTAGCCAACATTAGATTGTGCATTGTGGACATGACAAACTGGGGATCAAAAGCACCTGTGGTCCATGCTTGCGACGTCCAAGCAGCCCTCACGCATATAGCGAGGATTCAAGATGGCTGCCGTGCCGGACGCAGACAGGATGCATACCTCTTCGCTGCATTTGGGGGCGTGAGAGAGATGGAAAAGGAAAGAAAAAGAGGGTAAAAAAAAAAATAGATGCATACATCCAGAAAAACTACCATTTTACTTGGGATGATTATACAGTCCATACCAGATGCTGGTACTCTCGCTATACCCCACGACAGCATGGCAACCAAGAGCTTTGGCATGAGACTTGATCTCTTGTCGTATCTCCTCCCACCAGGCGTCGCGGGTTTCTGGCTCATCTGAAAAAACACACGGCGCCTCAATCAGCAAAACACGAAACATGACCACTGATTGTATCATTCATGAGACTTTGTTTTCTACAAGACACACTAAACCTGAATGTCGAAAAGCAAACATGCCAACATGGTATTTGACACACATCTCTCTGGTGTGGTCTCAATTTATTTACTCGGAGCACCAGAAAATAAACAGGCAACTCGTATTTTCTGGTTATTTGTGGAGTACCACTGTTTTCAAAGCAGGACAAAATGAATGTTCATCATTTTGTAGAAAAAGGTGACAATGACAATGGTCATGATGAAGGCGAACACAACTGAGAAGATTACTTGTAATTGCTTGTACGGGGTCCTCGGTTAATGACATTTCAAGATTAGGAACAGCACGCAGCATTACAATATGTGGTCACGCAGCACAAGGCGACGTGCTCAGTTAATGCCCTACTTCTTCTGCTTCTTTTTAAGATGACTTTACATTCATACCTGAGACGTTTTTTTCATGCAAGGACTTACTGTAATTATGACATTTGACAGACAAATGTTGGTGAGGTTCACGGCACAAGTTCCGTTTTTAGTTTTTCAGACAAGTATTTACAATAATCACAATATCACTACTGCATTAGTGTAGTTCAGGGGTGTCCAACCTTTTTTTTGATCCAAGATCTGCTTTTTAAGAAGCCAACCTCCTGGGTTTGACCAGTTTACACGCACGCACGCCATGACGAGCAATAGACATAAGAGACCCTAATATGAACGAAACCCGAAAAATAAAGCAGACACAAGGCAGGTAGCTTTCCGAGTTTGTAAAAGAAGCGAAAAAAAAAAATATCACGGTCAACCTTCAAGGGACCCCGGACAAAGGGAGGCTGGGATGCACTTTTGTAGCATGTGAAGTATAAAATAATCACGATCGTATTGCACATGAACTGTTTGAAAATGCTGCTCCAGATTCCCTTTCTTTGTCAATGCCATCGATACATTGCAGATCAAACGGACTTCTTTGAATGATCATAAACTAAATATAGACATATCTATATATCGCCAACTGCGATTGGAAACTGCTGACTGCGCTAACAACTTCCTGTGATGCAGATCAGGCACCACTGTAGGATAAAGGTGATCTACTTGTAAACCAAATCAAATCTTTTTTTTGTGTGTATGTGAGAATGATAGTTGCACAGGCTGTAGGGTACACCGTACTAAAACTAATAATAATACTAATTCTAATAATAATAATAATACGAATGCACATACACACATGATTTTTTTTTTCTTTTCCCCATACCAGCCTCGCGGTTGACTTGGGACCAGTGCACAATCTACCCGGTTGATCAAGATCGACAGGTTGGGCACTCCTGGTGTAAGTTATTGATGGATTGATGGACTTACGGTCCGTCCCAACTTCCGTACATATTGGGGTTATGTTGTGACCAAAGCAACAGAAGTCAATCATAAACAGAGGACCTCTTCTCTGTGTATAAAATGTTGGCTAATCATTCATATTGCCTTGCTCTGCATTTTCTCAGCCCACATTGCGGGAAAGGAGATTTTGTGTGGCTAAATCAGGAGAATTCAGGCTGATGAAAATTCTATCCATAAATTATAATCAAGCCTTCATCATGAATGGGTGTGTTCCAATAGTCTCATGAGGCAGTTATAGCTCTTAAATGTTGATGATGCTTGTAATAGTTGGAAGTTCTGGTTCACGTAAAGGGAGCTACAACAGAGTATTGAGTCGCACCCCACTGGTCCACATGCTGAGTGGGATAAAACTCAGGATTATTGGAATAGATCCATGAGAGGGAGCAGGGAAAAGAATCAAAGATGAAGTGAAGAAAGTGAAGGCCGATGACTGAATGTCAGGCATCGAGCCCACGAGCGGCTTCCTGCAAACCAAAAGCAAACTGTCACGCAGGCACTGACTTGCACGTTTATAAGCAGAGGCGGGCCATATTCATCCACCAGGGTCCATGGTAATTAAACTTATTATCCCCCAAAGCACACGTCTTTCTTTGCATCCCAATCACTCCTTGATTTTCCAATTTTCCTAAATCTGCACTTTTCCCTTCACCCATCTGCTCCTCCCTTGTCGCCACATGAATACGGCCCAGTTACTTAGGAGTTCACATGCCTGGTCAGTGGTTATTTGTCAACCTCCTAAACCTCAACGGGAAGAGTGAGTGGGGGGGCACAATGCAGAAGGAATAAGCATTAGAACAGATCCAGGACAACATTAAGGGAGAGCTGCAGCACGATGAGCCGGCCGGATGGTTGGAATGGGTGCGGGGGAAATTATCAGGCCAGGCTGGGAAGGGGTGAGAGCACAGCGCATGCTCGAATCAGCTCTACGCACACACACACGCATTCACACGCATTCACACAGAAAAAGAGAGAGGAGATGACAGCTCACTGAGTTTTATGCAGGGCAATAACTGAATTGTTCAGGAGGACAACTGGATTTAAAATCGACAACCAAACTAGCCTCCACATCACTGAGCTGCCAAAACTCCCATGGGTGAGAGCAGTAAAAGGGGTGGGGGGGAAATACCTGCCGTGACACTATTCCAGTCTAGCAGTTTGTACGAGCGCGTGTTACCCAAGGCTGGGCCAGATCAGACCATTAGTACAGGAAAGAGAGAAAGAGAGAAAAAGAGAAGAGACAGTCTAACAACACAACAGCAGCACTCCATTTATACTCGTAGAAAATAAACAGACAGCACTACTTCAAACTTACTATGCATTCATTGCAAAAATAACATAATAGAAAGAGGACGTTTTTGTCTCCAGATACAAACTGACCTTACAATATCAATAAAAGTAAAGTTAAGAATGACAATCAAAGGCTTTCCTGTATTGTGTCCTGCTGACCAAACAAACAAAAGATATTCCAACATCCCAAGAGTTAAAATTGCATCAACTGGCCTTCCAAACTGCATACACGGACAGTTCAGTTCTAAACGAAAAAAATCAGTTCATAACGTCTATTTGCAAAAAACACTGAAAACATGGCCACATGCAATTGTATAATAAAAGGATGATTCGATACAGAAAGAACAATCAAATCAAATAATTTTTTTGGTCATTCTAAGTACAGAAAATATTCTTAGCACTTATTTCACAAGACAATCAATTTCGCACTGACCCTGCGACCAAATAGTTGTCCGAACCCAGCCTTCAGCATTCACAACCACAAGAGCATTTAAGACTAAAGAAAAATTAAAATTGCTCTGTTGGGCTTCCCGTGATGACTATTGAGGTGACTCTTATCATTTGATTGGAAAAGTCTACTCAAACTCTAAATGCTGTGACCAATAGACACATTGCACATCTTATTTGGTACACCGGCAAAATCAAATCAGATCCAATTGGGAAACCAATACGTACACTTAAAGTTGTGACAACGTAATTTTCAATTACATTAGGTGATAGCTGTGATGTTAAGCAGCTTCCCCATGAGTGTGCTGTTCTTACAGAGTTCAATAAATGGCTAATCAGTACATATGTGACTGTGGCACTTCTTTCCCCACATGCGAGGGGATTCGAGTAATTAAGTAGAGCGGAACCTGGGTTTGGATAATCCCTAAATTACGCATAATACGCTTTTTGATATATATTTTTTGTGGTGACAGTTTGTCCCAGTTTTCATAGATACAATTGGTTTCCATACACTTGAAAATGGTCCGTACCAAAGTCAACTGCCAGCTCCGTTGCTTGGCTACTAATTTTCTTGCACTTACAAAAAAACCAAAAACATGATACATCCGGGGAGCAAACCAAGTGTGATATCGTGGGGGAACCCTTCAAATGAAGTACTTTGGCTTCCAATTATCTTTGTGAGGAAATGATTTCTTGATTATGGCACTCATATTGGATCTCATTAGATTGAGCAGGTGTACCTGATGAAGCACCCGAGTGTTATGAAGATAATCTGGCAGCTCGCCCAGTGCCGGCTGCAGCCAAAAACACCACACAGAAGCAGCAGCAGCAGGCAACAGATTGGAGCCATGCACCACTTAACAGTAGAGTGCCTCAACTCTTAAGGATCGTCACACACACAGTAACACGGCAGGCGATGGCACACACATCGAGCTGTCACATGTCACATCAACAGCCAGTTAAACAATACACAAGGTGACAGTGGCCTTATCCATTAAACCTGTACAGTGGATGCTAGCCGTTGTTGCCTGGAATGTTACTAACTAACAGCATCCCTCTGTGACTGAAAGCATTTTCACCTGTATCAACTACAAGACTATGATGCTGTGACTTTAGAGTAACCAAACAAGTAGAAATATACACAAGGGGGAAAAAAAAAAGCTGTTCAACAATCACAAGACTAGATACTGACTCAGTGAAAGTCAAACAATGTTTTTGGGTCACTAGACCACAATTGGTTGTGTTCAGGAACTAACCGGGGTTGTGTATGCGGTCCAGCAGTTTGACTGAGCGAGCGCTGACAACTCCGCCCACGTGGAGCAGAAAGGCAGGTGGGAAAGACGTCAACGTGAAAAACGGGAACTCCTGGAGACAAGAGAAATACCAGTTGTGCAAAAAAAAAGGAAAAGACATGATCTACTTGCGTCTCTAATGGACACAATAAAACAACTGTATCAAAGTTCAATAATAGGCTAATCAGTGTGGTTACTCCCAGAGGTGCAGACGTACACTCCAGCATACTTTTTTTCCCCCTTCTTTGGCTGCTTCTACACTGCAGGCCCAAGAGCTCAATTTTGATTTCATGCCTGCATCATATTTTCTAAATTCATGTGCATTTCAAATGACACATACCCGATATCAATATGCCTCGATTTACACTGAACTCCACCAGTATTAACACTGGGCAGTGACAACTCAGAAGTAAACAATGAATAAATTAATAAGACATAATAAACATGACACAGCCTTCAGATGGGCTCCGGCTGACTCATCCATATCATCCATATTACTTCACTGGCCAACATCAATAATTGTATCGTTATTTGGGCAGATGTGGGTGCGTTTACTTCATTCAGCAGTGTATTTTGAATCTGATAACATCAAGCATGCATCAGTGAGGTTCAACCAATTTGAGCTTTTTTATATTTATCCAATAAAAAAAATGAGATAATCACCAAGAAGAAGCCTGATTTCGATCTGCCGCTATCTAATTCCATGCCTTTGTTTCTGTTTAGACTGCAATGTAGTACATCTGAATTGTGCTATGTACAAGCTAAATAAAATAACAGTTGGGTTACTTATATTATGCAGTGTAAATCCAGCCTAAAATGCTTGAGCTGATCGACAAGAGTCAGAATACAGTACAGTGCGGATCTATCCAAAGCAAAATACAACCAAATTAATTTAATATACAGTCAAATTCATCCAAAACTTGGCATTATTAAGTTAAGACAGATCTTTTTGATACAGCTCTTTTATTTGATCTTGGCAGGTTGTGCAGGTATAATAAATAACCTCAGGTTTAGGATGGAAAAGTTCAATTTGCCATCCAAAAGCAATGTCTTCACTTGAACTGATTCTAAATGGGTAAACTCATAGAAGACGGAAACTTAAACCGGACTGGATATGTCAGTTTAGGTTAGGAATGTGCCAACATGCAGCAGGAGTGGTGTACTCCCCCTCTCCTAACCATGCAAAATATCTACTTGCTCCAAACCTGTATGGCATTTCAAGTAGATCTGGAAGAGACTGAGATAAATGGTTGGTCAAGTGAAGCTACAATTCTATATTGTCTAATGTCAGACAAATTATGCAAATCCATGCATAACACCTGGGCATATACTTAGCCTCTTGGTATTCATTCTATGTTGCAGTGCTGATTACAATTGGCCAAATAAACCAAACGTAAAAGTGCATGTTATGAATATGTGTCGTAGGCAAACAGGATTAGGAGAACAATTAAAGATTTGCTCTCTTCTAATCCGGCATGGAACATGGAACACTGAATATGACCGCCAGCCCGTCCAGGTTCTGAGCTAGGCAAGAATGAGATGAGTGCGATCATTCCTGTCCTGGGGGAGGAGTCAAGAAGGAGGAGGAAAAGTTTGATGATGGTTGGGACGGGAGTCCAGAACACAGTCACGCACCCTTTCAAACTTGAAGGCCACACAACATCCTGTCCAGCCCTCCACCCGAGTCTTTTCAGAGTGAAGGGCAGAATCGGTGGGGGTGGCCATCAGGTTGTCAGAGGGTTACGCGGGGATATGGATAGATAGAGATCGACTCCGATTCGACATACCCCGGCATTTAAATACAACGCAGAGGAGGATGCTCCCTGTGAGGCACAGGTCATTGAGGGAACAGAGAAGAGAACAATATTTGCTCTTGCACACACCCATCCCCCCCCCAAAAAAAAAAGAAATTTGAGAGGAAATCACATCTTGAGTTGCGTCAATTATTACACAAATGTGTGCATGCTAAGTCAAACCATTTTTTAATGTATTTGTAATTGTGATGGATCAACGTACCCTCTGCTCCAGAGCCGTCTGCGTCTGTTGTCTGAGCAGCGTCTTTAGGGGTCCTGCCTCTTTGCCGGCACTGCCCCCGCTGCCCATTCCTGGTCACAGAAGAGAGAGTCTCACGTCACTCGAGAACCAGTTCCGAGATTACGTGAACAAAAGCGTGATGTAAATGTTAAGACAAGTCAAAGCAACCATGTTTCACACACAATTGAGGAAACTAGCTCCTTTGGCCCTCGTACTAACTAGCCTTAAAGTAAAAGAACAAGGGAGGGGTTTGGGGGGGGCATGCTACATATTGGGATACTGTAAGTGTTTGTTTCAATAAGTTATTGAGTCAAGGTACATACACTACTCACAAAAAATGTGGTAACTGTTGTGAATTTCCAGTTCAGCTATTTGTTAGAACAGAAACTTATGAAAAAAAAAAGTAGGGGAAAAAAATGGAACAGTTGGACATTTTAAGTCAACAGGTTAGAGAACATCAAATTAAGTTTACCTAACCTAATGGCTTGTTCGCACTGATAATGTGTCAAATATGGCCATCATTGTGTGAACCGTTTTTCCTGTTTGTGTAGATGTGTACAGTATAGAAATATATAACTGTACATGTCTGTATGATGTAAATGCTCAATAAAAAGGATTGTTCGAAAAAAAGTGGACTTGTGAATATTACAGTGCAGTTTAGGTAATTTCACCCTACAGCTAAATATATCGCCGTGGGTGCAAATATCTCACAGCACACGTGCCAAGCAAAAATGTCAAAAAATGACATACTGACATTTCAATTTACTCACTTAATATGAAATCTGGCCAGTTTAGTCAAACACAAAGCTAAGATTCAGATTTGCCTCACTGGCAAAAGATGAATACACAGGTTAATTTTATCTTCTACATTCTGCATTCTCCTACAGAGTGCTGTCAGGCTGCTGAATAAACATACCGGTACGTGAAAAACCTGTAACCATTGTAAATAGCACAGCTACCTTATGCTGTGTTTTCTATGCTATTGCGAAATTTATTATATTTATTCTACAAATATATTGCTAATGCTATATTTTATATTGCACTTATATTGAACTGTGTACAGTTCTTTTCTGAAACATTTATTTTGTGCAATGAGACATTGTTTTTTTTCTTCTCTCCCAATTTTGCTGCTGTAGACTGCAAATGTCCCCAGTGTTAGACAACGCTTGCAGAGTTAACGGTGAGTGGACGGATGTCATTTGCACTTGTGTTGTTATTCCAATTCCGTGACATAAATGACACACGGCAGCCAAGCTGTACCGGAGGGCAGCAGAAAGTCCTCCGTGAAGGACACACTCTTTCTCAGAAGTGCAGAGTCAGAGTGGGTGGAAGAAGGAGGGGGTAGGGTGGTATTTCTCGGGGTGGACCCAGAGACACCCCCGCACGCTGAGCCAGAGAAAGATGTGGAAAGGACAGGGGAGCTGGGGCAGAGGAAGATGCCCGGCCTGCGCCTGACGGACTGAGGCTCCTCTGACAAGCACCAAGTCAGCAGCCAACGGGGAGGAAAGAAGTTCAGGAGGTGAGGAGATGAGGATTATGATGGAGGCGGATATCTTACGGTCACTTTTCCGCTGCCTGCTTCAGTTTGGCCTTGCTCTGCTTAGCTCTTTAGGTAGTCCACTCTTTACAATGAAACTGACGTACGAGGTTGCAAACGTCTCGTAATTAACTACGGTAGTTCGTGCAGGGAGCTAAGAATGTGTCATAATTAATCACACGGCACAAGAGGACATGCTCAGTTCCGACCATGATTCATTATTTCGTTGGTTTGTTTGACACTCATGGCCTGAAAGATTTTTATAAAGTTTACAATTATTGACTGTAATTGTGACATTTGTAGCGTTCACACGTCCCATTTTGTATCGGTGCTGACCCGCAAACTAGCATTTACTCCTGAGTAAATTTTTAAACCACCTCCTGAGCAGGGTTAAATATGCTCCAGTTTAAGCTGTTTTCAGGGGCTACACCGGTATAACTTTGCACGTGTGAACGCTCTACGGGGGGCAGCCCCGGTGTTACACCGGAGTAAAAGTTGCCGTGTGAACACCCCTATTACTGCTGCGTTGACGTCAGTCAGTGATGAGTTGACAACAGAAGGTATGAATGGAGACTGGCTGTTGAATACGTCAGCGTCTTCCCGTCCTTTAGTTTGTGGGAAGAAAACAGTCGAGCTCGACTGTCGAAACAGGTTCATTTTTACTTTTATAGTGGAGTACATTTTAGAGCCTGTATTTTTTTTTTAATTTAACTAGTTGAATCAGTACTTCAACAAAATTACTTTTACCAGCATTTGTGTATTTTTCCAGACTTCTACCTAAGTATAGAGTGTGAGTACTTTTGCCACGTCAGGCTACTGTAAGCAGTACCAATGGAAAAGCAATGGGCCGACCAGGTAGTACTATGCGGTGGAAAAGGGGCGAGAGCGGTCTGTCTACAGTACACTTAGAACTACCCCTGTAACCAAGGTTTTAATTTACTTCAGAGACACTGTGCTTCATTGAAAACATCACAACAACAAAAAAAACAAACCTAATGCACATACATCTCGTGTGTTTTCACCACAGGTTATGGACCACATGACAGAATAAGATGCAAAAAAATGATCATAAGAATAACAAATAAACTAAACATGAAAAAACACCAGAGAAGCACCTCAATGTAGTGGTGGAGTGGTGTGGGGGTGGAAAGGTGGGGGGGGCGGGGCGTTATACAAATTGATGGGGGTGATGCCTCAAGTGCTTACCCGTCTTGGGCGTCAAACTGAGGTCTGTGTCTGATGATGAGGACTGGCGGCTGGCTTGGGGGGGAGAGAAGGGGGCAGGAGAGAAGGGATTGCTGGGGAGGGCTCTGAAAGGGGTGAGCGGGCCGGATGACGAGGGAAGGTCCTCACCAAATACCGGCCTGGTGGGAGAATATGACACAAACACACACACACACACACACAAAGACACACCCCCAATCAGTCACAGCCTCACCCTGCATGTCTGAGTGTGAATGAGTGGAAAATCTTTGTTCTTGCAGGAGGTGTGCTTGAGGTGCTACACATGGTTGGAGAACAAAAAGAAAAAAGAAACAAAGCAAGTGTGAAAAGCAAACGTAGGACAAAGATACAGTAAGATCAAAAGACACACAAAACGAATTAAAAAGCAATCAAAACACAAGTAGGATGTTCTGAAGCATGTGTCCCTGTGGAGTGAAGCACAGGTCAACACTTCTCTTGGGACTCGAGGGCTGTATCAAAACAATTCCCTTTTACTTAACGCTCCTCATACGGCCGCAATAAAGTTCCTGGGTCAAGTTGACCCAGGAACGTAACATGGCTTATATTGCATTTCAATCAACGTTGGGGGGGTTATTTACCTCTCACAGGTCACGTTTCAATGAAGATTTGAATAAGAAAAATCAGGTTAAAACTGTATTTTTAAAGGAATACTGGAAAGGCTTCATACAGTACATTTAAATGGGTCAGTTTGACCCGCAACGTAACAGGGCATTTAATATTATGATGGAGGTTGAACAACTGCAGCACCCTGACAGGCCTAAATTACCGTAAGTACAAAGTAAGACGATTATAACCACCACCATTGCTGTCAAACAGCCTTGGGTATGATACACTGTAGCACAACAATAAGGGCCCCTAAACTGACTGAACCATGCGGCAGGAAGCAAGATATGAAGTTATCCAGTCTTGAATGTCTTCTTTATCAAGCATTTAAACGACCTAGAGTACATATGAACATCACAGAAGATTAGGTGTCTCCTCAAGCAAGGTGCACACAGAGCGACAATTGGGCCGTTCTCGAGCAATTTCTCTCTTTTGCAATCAATAGCCAGATCGGCAGCTGTTGTAAGATGGCTCTGTTGCTGATCTCTCGGCCTGACAGACCACAAATATATTGTCCTACAGTATAACACCGGAAACACGCCACCAGGAACGCTCATCTCGCATTTGGTCGGGCTGCAGTATTCGGCAAAGAGGACTGCATTTCCTATGATTCATACAGACCTAAGCAGGAAGTAGTTCAGGTTCCAGTATGACAAATGGAAGTATGCCTGCTAGCGATTAGATGTGTCAAAGTAAAGGATTAAAGATGACGAACTGAAAAGCCATCATCCATACATAAGTGGCAACGGATTACAAGGTGCGCTGTCAATTTTTGAGAAAATTAAAGAATTTCAAGTGGTCTAAAAAATACGGTAGGCAGTTAATGGTATATGCTGGCAAATCCTCACGTGTGTGTGTGTGTGTGTGTGTGTGTGTGGTCAACACTGAGTTGGGCTGAGCCACAGACTCTGATAGTGTCATGAATTGAAATGCTGGGCAATCAAAGTTGTCAATCACAAGTCATTCGGCACAATTAAAATGACAAGGAGAAGAGTTTGCAACGGCAATGTTGACATCAGATAATCTAACAGCTTCTGTTATTTCGTCTTGGCATTGAATAATAGCACACAGGCGACCTTTTCCTCGTCACACATTTTAAAAAACGGTTTCGACCCCACTAAACTGACTTCCTTCCTTCCCTGCCTCTGCATACCAGAGAAGATGAGTGTGGGCACAGAGACAGAGAAGTTCTGGGACAGTCTCTGTGCGCTGCACGCCGAATGCACTGGGCTGTTGTGGGTGGAGCGGCATCCATGGGCTAAGGGAGACCTGGGTCGAGGAGGAGCACGACACACAGGAGGAGAAGAGAAAGAGAGAGAGAACGAGAGAGAGAACGACCAGTCGTGATAGCCACACACAGTAAGAATCGTATCAGTCCTGGTGCAGCCAGAGAGGAGTAAAGAAGGAAAGAAATGCACACAACAACCAACAACAGATCATCTCAGCAGACAGAGAGAGGGTGGAAAAGGGACAAATTTGCTCTCTCCAAGCCATGTGAGCCACATGCACGAGAGGGATGCAAAATACAACAGGGCTAACAAGATGTCAAGATGTGTCATTAAAGTTCAGAAACGATTAAATGAACTTTACGTGTAAATGTTAAATGCACCTTTTAAGTTCAAATTTCCCCTGGGAACGAAATAATATAAACTTTTTGTGAACGGTACGAGACATGTCACAAGCGCATGCAGAGCTGAGAGCAAGCAAGCTATGTGCGAGCAGACGGATTAGGGAAGGTAAAATTTTCGGGGTGTATGTTTGTAGACTGCACGTGTGTGTCTCAGAATGCTGTGTGCTGTCGCACCATGCGATACAGGTGACTAATAGCGAAGCGCGCACACACAGTGGAAGACAGGCATTATGTCTGCACACTCTTCCTCACATGCTCATTATCATCCCCAAATGTGGCACACACATTTGGGGATGATAACACACAATGTTGCATTTATTCAACATGTTGGATTGCTACTCACTCCTTTCCGTCCTTGGAAGGGGAATTGCAGGCGTTGGAAGCAGGAGCTGTGCTGGGATGCATGTGTGTGGTGGCATTGGCGATGGCAGTGGCGGGCGCACCTCCGGAGGTGATTTTGTCCAGAGTGCAGGCGGTACCTATGGCCCGCACTACCAGGCCCGACTCTCCCTCCAAGTCGAAACACTGCAAGTAGCCCACCACTGCATTCCCTCCCATCTCAAGCACTTTGAGTCCTATCTTCCTCTGCAGCTCTCCTACGGCAACATGCAGGTGTTAATAACAATGGGTTTAAATCAAGAAAGAAACAACCATCTGAAATCAGATTCTGTTGGAACAGTGATTCTCAAAGTTTTCAACATTTCTAAATAAGAGGCCAAAATTGACTTTTTTTTTTTGTTTGTCATTAATTTGTATATTTTTTGACTGATTCAAAAATTTCAACTTTAAAATTTTCAGGTTTTATCTACTGCAATTGATATTCTAAATTTCAAAAGCCAAAATGTCATTTCTACATTTTTTGACCAATTCAAACCATTCCAAATTTAAAGTATTAACCTGCGCAGGCACGTTTGTGCCTTGGGAAACACTGGTCTACAAATGGGGATCATATTTGTTTCCCTACCGGACATGAGCGAAATGAGCCTCTGGCGGGCTTCATTGGATGCTCGAGGGGTTCTGATGCGGTCAATCCATTGGTATTCGGGATCTTCGTTCACCACAAGCTCCTCCACAAAGCCGTGGACCATCGCCGCCCGGTAATAGCGTGGTATGGAAGTGGCTGCCATGCACATGTGATAGGGCCACACATTATTTCTCTCCTTTGCCCAACTTTTTCATTCAATGGATGATAATTAGAACATGGGCGGCCAGGCCGTCTCTACATGTGCACACAAATCCCTGAATACAGTGAAGTCTCTAAAATCTAAAACCCTTGAAGGGCTCAAAATTGAGAGAGGCAAGGTGGGTTAGCGGCTGGTACAGCTGCCTCACAGGTGAGAGGTTTCAAGTCCCGAAATGATTACTAAAGCCCTGCTGTAACCTTTTTTTTCTGTGTATATTTATAATTTATATATAACATATCGAGATAAGTTAAATGTTTAGAAGTTTGGTCCATGTTTTTTATTATTATATTATTTACATCAATGTTTCCCATTACTTGAAAAGATGAAGTGGCAAAACCAGATTCGGTTGCATTTTTTTGTTATAATTTAGGACTGACCGATTTATGTTTATGCCACGCTTGTTGGGTAGAATTTTGGAACGTTGGCGTCGTGAACTCTTAAAAGACTACAAGTCAAAGCTCGTACTGAACCACGTAAATGTGCTGACTTTCATATTAATTAGGACTTTACTTCTTTATTTTATTTTAAGTGCAATAAATCTATAATGAATATGGCTTATCGTAATATTGTTTAATTTATTGGTTGTGTTTGTAAAATAAATAAATAAATAAATACATGGGAAGAGGACCTTGAAAATGTTGTTAATTATTAAATCACAATATGAAGAGGGAAAAAAAGCCGCAATTAAAATGTTTATGGTACTTTTTATAAATCGCTCCGCCATACTGAAAACGATTATGTTGGTCCTTCAGAGGTTTCACTGTATTATTTTCTGAGCAGTATTGTAAGATCGAGGAAAAACACACTGCAGAAAAACTTGACTCCACAGGAGGATTGTCTGAAGCGGTTCAAGTCATTGAAGAGCTCTACTTTGATCAGGACATTAATCTCTCCACGGATACCTGACAACAAATAACACAGAGATGGGGGATATGAGATAAGTGGGAGAGAGGCATGATGAATTACACGTATATGGTCTTCGAGTACCGTGAATGGTGTCATAGATGGGAAACCAGCCGGAGATGACGGAGGCGGCCTCACTGCACAGCAGCGGGTCGATGTCGATGTAAACCTTCCCGATGGCGTCGTTTGCGCTGTATGTGTCGTGGTCCAACACGGTGATCTGCAGCGGCTCATCCTGCAAGTCCTCATCATCAACCTACACATCGACAGAAGCATTTGAAGGCTCCACTACGGAATACACAATTCAACACACAATAACACAGGAGCTGTTTAAAGGAACAGCTCTTCTTAGGCGTTTTACCTCAAATTTGAACCATTCTGAGTTCCACTGTGGATTGAGAGATTTGGGGTAGACGTCTGTTTTGAAGGTTATGTTTCCAAACTTGACCTGCATGGCAAAGAGATGAAACGATGTCATCTTTCTGTTGGAGTAAATACAAACCTGGCAAACTTGAAAGGGGACAAATGTCACTTTTTAGTTTTTTAATTGGTTGCACACAAATATTTGGATCTTTGTTATCTATTTACAAAAAGTGTCTGCATGAGCTAACCAATCTGAATACTTGGCCAATAAAGATGAATCTGATTCTGATTCTGAATTTTGAGAGACCAGACATCCCAAGTCATGTGATCCACAGATCTGAAGTCTAAATGACCACTCTAAATGGGCACTTGTTTTTCCCCCTTTCACACTACTTCTACAAATAGTAGTTGCTCACCCGCAGGCTGTTATGGGTAACAAAAGCCACAGATCAGGGAGGAGGGTGCTCAGTTGCTCATTTCATGAGCCAAAATGTGGTGAGCTCAGAGAAGCTAAAAAAGGGTGTAATTCTTGATACTTGTGGTATTTTGACAAAAGTATCTCAGAGACATGTTATAAAAGCAGATGAGAATTGCTTATTAAGAGAAAAATGACTACTTGAATGGCAAAGGACTTTTTACTTACCTCTACAAAAGCATCTGTAAGCTCACTGGCTCTGTCCATGACAGGCAAGTGGCGGCCGGCGACAATTTTTGCTTTTAGTTTCCCAGGCATGATTCAAATTTAGGTTGCTCTGCGAAGAAATTACATTAGTATTCAAGGTGGTTGGCATATCTATGTAACAACAGGGGTTCCTCAGTTTATGCTAGCCCAGAGATATGTCATTTCGAGGTTGTGAATGATGTGCAATGTAAGAAAATGTCAACAGGGTGCACTCAGAGCAGTATTTACCATTTTTGTTTTCTTGTATGGTTTTATTTTTATTCCCTTTGCCTGTTTTTAACACAAATACTCACTGAAATTACAACAGTTTCAGTGAATATAAACTGGGCAATGAACTAGTTTGCTGGGTGGTTGGAGTATGTAGTCACGAGGTCACAAGATGGCATGCTCAGATAACGTGAATACAGTTTTTTATTGTGCTGTTTTAAATTTATGTTTTTGACACGTTTTCATACATCTGTTCCTTACTGTAGCTATTACCTTACTATTACATTGTGTTAGCAATAAGCATAGATTAGCGATACACTATGGCGCATACTGATTTGGTATTTCCAGACAAATATTTACTGTAATTATAAGTTAGGACACATATAATTACTGTAAATAGGCGATTTTAGTTAATAACAAGAGGAAGTTGTTAATTTTGAAACTGTAATTGACTTCATTTCGCAAGCATAAAATCGTATCATACCAAACTATATTGATACCCCGGTGCCTTCGACTTACGTAAAATACTGGTTACGCCGGAGACTGCGTCGCAAGCCGAGGACCCCCTGTATATGACACCTGCAGTAGTCCTTGAATGACATTTGTTTTGGACAACACCACAAATCAAAAATTCACTCCGGGTAAATCCAATGAGGACACTTTACCTCTTTCGAAAACGCTTTCGACTCACATACAATGTAGCGGGTAATTTAGTTGAAGAAAGCCATGGCCAGCTAAATGGCTTTAGCCTACCCATGCTAACTAAGAAAGCTACTTAACTCCTGTACCCCGAACGGCCGTGTTTCAGCAAAGTGCTACCACGTACAGTAAATAAGCACCGAACATAATCTGTAAAAGACGGTTCGTCCTTACCCCGGACCTACGACAGCCACAATTAGCTCGTCAAAGAGCCGCGGAAGGTTCGGTTCTCCCGGACATTGTAGGTGACAGCCCGTCGCTCGCGAGACCACCGTGTCCGTCTGGCTCCCATAACACGGGGTGTGCGAGTGCTAAGTGCAACAAGCAGGACAACGTTAATGCAAAATTGGATGCACGCCAGATGCTATGACGTCAAAAGACAATTTTAGTGTATTGTTTTGACATTACGTCCGAGCTAAGCGCATATCGGACAAGGTAACTAGAAGCTAGGGTGGTAACGATAGCGCCCATTGATGAATGAGGTTTGGACAGTGTTGCCTTCGCGGTCACTCGTAAATATACCTTTTCAGTAAAGACGACACCAATCTACGGAGCCCTTCAGGGGACATGGAAGGGAAAAAAAACTTAGAACGAATTATCTATATTATTATTATTATTATTATTATTATTATTTGTTGTTGTTGTAGTAGTAATTATAAACACAGACATCCAAATGCAGTGGGGAACAAACTGGGCAGGGAAATTGAAGCGAGAATTTATATGAATTCTACCTGAACTGTTAACGCTCTTATAATAAAAACGTTATGTTATGTTACAATTTAAAAACTACACCACAATACTAAATGTGCTGCCACTTCCTTTGAAGCTGCTTAGATTTTACATTTGCACATAAGAAAATGCTCCAACATGTCAACTGGATGAACGCAGTGAAACTCCTTTATCTGTCACCACCATGGCGGGAGAACGTTCGCAGTTGATTGAAGATGGATCTCACCTTGACACAAATGATGTGCATAGAAATGTACTGCATCATGGACACTCGTCTGACAGTGACATAGGAGCGCCACTTGTTGCAATTTTTGTGACGTTGGATTGAAGTAAAACCGAAGTGAAGTCATTTTGCATTTTCAAAAAACTAAAAACAGCAATGAACCTATTTGCTCCAAAATGCATCCGAGGGAAAATTCAAAACAATCTTTTACTATTACTGAAGTTGAATCCTAATCTGCATTGGTTCCACATTTAATCAGAACAAAATGTTTACCATGACATGACTTTAAAATTGCTGCAAACACTTATTTTGAGAGTGTTCATTGTATTTGTTGCAGAGTCTGCATTTGCAAGCAAGGTCCAAAAAACAAGGACTTTCTGAGACTGGGACAGCAGAAGGGGCAGGAAAATGTATGAGTGATTCACATGTCTCACAGTTATGAGGTTCTTTGTATGTGAAGTTGGCTTGTTCTTCCAGTGATTGCGAGGGTGTTCTGCAGGTACTCCACCTTCCTTCCAAATTCCCCCCAAATTCTCACGTCTGTTGAACTTTTTAATTTGTTTAAAAAAAAAAAAACTTTCCCGAGGTGTGAAAGTGCAAATGCGCTGATATTAGATGGGAAAACCCTCACCCAAAGGCACGTGGGACAGACTCCAGCTCACTCACAAAACTTAATGGGGATAAGCGTAGAAAAGGAATGAAAGCTTGAAAATAACTGCCACTTAATCAACTCAATTGATCTTCAACATCACTTAATGCGGTCACTTTCATTTGTGGACAGATATGCTGGATTCTAATGAGAGATGTCGACGTATCAAGGTGATGTCATAGCATAAAAATGAAGAGATGATCCCTCAACCAACCTCCAAACAACCCAACTGCCTTTCCAGCAGCTCCTACAGGTATATTTTGTGGTTCTACTTCTTGCTTTCATAACTTTGCTGCTGTGAATTGGGAATTTCTCCATTGCGAGACTAATAAAGGGTTTATCTTATCTTATCAGAAGGGCAAATTACGTGAAATCACTGCAAATGAAATCAAACGAACGCAACCAGGACATTTGTTTTGATAAATTTAATTGTGAAATGTGTCAAGACAGTGTGAATGAAAACAGACCCTGAGAGAAGACTCTCACATTGTACAAAAGTCGAGAGGAACATTGCAAGTAACATAAATCCTTTGGAAATAATAATGACAAGAACAAAGTAAATTAAAAGAAAATAAAATTCTGCAATGAATCCTTCAATGCATAATAAATGCGTCAAATAATGGATTTTACACAATGAATGCAGTACCGAGTCAATCCCACCATGGAACATGACTGTGCTGCACTCGGTTGAAATAATTCCACTGTACCCCAAGCAAGTTTATTCAGAAAAAAATCTGTCCAATCAGAAAACGCAGACACATGAAAACACATGGCTCAGCTCATATCGGTAAGGAGCAATTACCACTTTTTCCTCCACTGGAAATGAAAATTGTATTAAGTGTGATTTATGCTTGCTACATTTCCCAAAAGAAATAAAATTACCGGTACTGAGTTTTTGGCCATTTTTAGACAAAAAACCCTACTTTTTAACGTCCAGATCATCTTTGGCTAATACGACACAATATTACTATTGTACTATTATTATGAGTAAAGCAAATATTAAGACTGATGAGCACATTTCAAACAGATACATTGAGGGATGCACTTTTAAAAAAGGCAAGAATAAGTTAAGTTGTCCATAATTTAAATCATCACGTACACCATCTGCTGACAAAAATTTAACATTTTACAGAACCCCCCCCCAACTTTTCCAGTTGAGACTAACGTGAAAGATTTAAGACATTGATGTGTATTTATCCACGGAGCGTTGCATCCGGCAGAGTATATTGCCGACGGCGACATACACTACACAGGTATTAATGCGCTTGCATACTGAGTTGAACCTATGTTGGCTAGTACCTTCCTTGTCGTACATCCAGTGGAAACAACTCTGAAGTTATCAGGACCATCGCCATGGCAATGACCTTCCCAGGTCACGCTGTTGTGCTGATCAGTAGTCACAAAAATTGGAAAGCAGCAGGCTCCAGCTGTTAAAGTGCTCTGGGCGGTGCTCGAATAGGTTTTGACCGGGTTAGCTTGGACCGGATGGCATGCGATGGTTCCACATGCCGCGCTTGGAGTGGTAGTGGTGGAAGAAGTTGCGCAGGTGGATCCGCTCCACCTCTAGTCCGGCCTGGAGGATCCTGCAGCAATGAGACCAAAAGGGGAAAAAGAGAGACAGAGTGTGTGTGTGTGTGTGTGTGTGTGTGTGTGTGTGTGTGGGGGGGGGGGGGTACTTTTTTTTTCTTACACTCCTTAGAAAATGTGGGTATATTCACCTAACCTAAAATGCATTTTGCCCTTTACAATTTGAATTTAATTTGACCTTCTTGAAACTTTTAAAATGACATTGGCGCGGGCTTATCCATTTTGTCCATCGGTAAATGTAGAATTATAAACACGTTGAATATTTCTTCAATGAGATTTTATACTGCCTGACAGCTGAAATAATAAACAACAAATCTTTTCATGGCCTGAGACTTTTGTCCACCACTGGATGTACGGAAAACTATTGTTACTGTTTAAAAATGTAAAATGTTTAGTCTTCAATTATTCAAAAAGTGTATCTAGATTTTCAACTATACCATATGTATTTCTAATTTGTATCCTTTGTCATTTTTTTACATGAATACAAAGAATTTGAATTGTTGAACTGTTGATTATTAATTTGGCTGCTTTGTACTGATGCTTTAATTTGGCCACGGTATCATTTCAGTACCGGTATTGAGGCACTCTGTGCAGTTATAATATCAAAGTCAACATGTTGGTGTCACGGCAACCCTAGTGGATGTATATTACAGTAAACTTGAACAAACCGGTCGAGGAGCTCCCAGTCTTCCCCTCCCCAGCGGTCGGTGAACTCTTTGGTGTTCATTCCTCCCACCGCATCCAGATCAGACTTATAGATGCCCAGTAAGCCAAAGCCGTGAACCTCCCAATAACCTGCCACACAGAGCACAGTGTCATGCTACACTCACAGTACATCTCGGGCTTTTTTTTCTTGCTCCTCTCATACCTCTGCCTTCCAATGGAGTTGCCCCGCAGTCCAGCCTCATAAGCACGGGCGCAAAAGCCATGAATCCCTCTACACAGTGTTTCCGAATGCTATCCATGATGGAGGGAGGGAAATGGATGTGGAGGTCGCAAAGAAACACAATGCTGTGGTCGTCCTGAAGGCAGGGGAAAAGGCAAAAAGAACAATGTTCAAACAGAGATGATTCTTTGGTTCAAGAGCTCGGGCACGGCGGCTCACATCTATCAGGTTGACGCCTGCTTGGAGACCAGCAGAGCGCTCAAAGTTGCCACTTAGCTTCAGATACTGGTACCTGAAAAAAAACCCACAGACTGTCATGGTGTGAGGATACGCTCACCGGACACATTGTTAGTATGATCTAAAGCGGTGGTACTAAAGGATTTCCAGACAAAGTACACCCTCGAACAATACTGATATAACGCTATCTAACCACCATTAAAATACAAACAACGTCAAGAGGGCTTTTACATTATAAATACAGTGAAACTCCTCTACAACGAAATCATGTTTGCAGCAAGAAATTTTTCACAACAGGGGGTTTTTCACTGTAGCAAATTGGGTGTTTCTCTGTAGCAAATATGAGCTCAGATATAAACACACACACACACACACACACACACACACACACACACACACACACACACAAAACCGGATGTGTACACGCACACACAAACGGATGTTTACTCTTTATTTTTATTCCAATAGTGCATAAGTATGAGCATAAACTTATTTGACACTTCATATAGTCAGTGTAGAAAGAAAAAAAGGGAAAGAAATTGCGAAATTTACGATCAGCATTCACTTTCACTTTCATCAATTTCTTGGATAATGTATTTTATTTTGCTTCCTCCATCTTTCATTTTGATCACTTTTACCCTCTTCCAGGGTCAGAGCTCTTCTTTTCTTGACATCCTAAGGTCCGTTTTGTAGCCATTTTAGCAATGCAACGTTTTTGCTGTGTCTGAAACTAACAATAACAAATACTTCCTGGACAACAGCGCATGTCTAGACCAGTGTGGTGGTTGCTGTTGCCGTTTCCGAACAAAGCAGTAGAGGTCGCTGTTGGATTAGACTTCGTTGTAGTGAATCTCATCGCGAGGCAAGAGCAGAGAAAAAGATTTCATACAACGCAACAGGGGGGTTTTTCGTTGTATGGGGGCAGGAAAATGGGAATGGTGTTAATGATGAAGATTTTTTCACACTAGGGGGTAATTTCGCCCATGTAGGTTTCATTGTAGAGGAGTTTCACTGTATGGCTATTACTGCAGCAATAGTTTGCAGTGATATAGAGCTGCAGAGCATCACCATTAACGCTCTCAGGCAGAACTTTGAAATGAGATCACTTTGCCTGGGCAGGGAGGACCTCTTGAGGGCTGCTCTCACATCCATATCGGTGCTGTTATAGTCAACGATGATGAGGTTAAAGTTGGTGTCACCCGTCGCC